GGCTGCAGAAAAAGAAATTGAGGATTTGGTGTCCTCAATTTCTTTTTCTATTTAAAAAAGGAAATGTCAGGGATCTGTTTAGACCCCAGAGATTTCACCGTAGCCCCTCCAACAGTAAAAAAATAAATACAATATTATTAAAAAATAAATAAAAAAAAAGTGTAAAAAAAAAAAAAGCACAACCCCTCCCTCCCCCCACATAACACACACATATTGTGGTGCACACCATGCACATGCGTTGTTAGAACGCATTGCAGTGCATGATCTTTATTTTTTTCTTTTAAAAAAACATTAAATTAACTGTGGCAGCGCATGGCAAAGCTTTGTGACTCATTGCCATGCGTTGTGATACCTTGTGTTGCAATTAAATATACACCTGTATCATTTTATCACAACACAAACACCAAAACAATTTTTTACATAAGTCGATTATTTACAGTTTTGCATACCTTCATTTTTTTACCTTTTCGCAAAAAGGCGCAATTACAAATTTGCTAATATTTGTTATTTATTAACTCAATACAGTTTTATCTTTTAGATTTAGTCAGAAAATAATTTTTTTTGTGCACGGATACTGATTTTGGTGTGTTTTATCAATTGAATTGTGTATTTTTATTGGTTTAATATTAATTTGAGAAACATTTGCGCAATTATCGCAGGGCCTACAAATTTAGTATCACCATCTTTTTATTCTACCGGGCCTGCGCTTTCAGAAAATATATGGTTTGGGGGGTCTTTTACAAATGCTAGCAACGCAGCAGTTGAAAATAAAATCCAATAGGAAAAAATGGCTTGGCCAGCTGATTTGAAAAATGTTCCGGAGGGCTTGGCAGCGAAAGGGTTAAACATTTCCCCTATTAACACAGCAACCAAATTCTTTATGATCATAACAAAAAAATTACAGCTGAAAGGTGATTGGTTGTTGTGGCAAATACATATTTTAGAACACTGCATGTTAACGGTAGTAGATACAGATCTTGGGTCGGACTGTAATGAAAAATGCCATTTGGGTAATGGGTAAAAAAGGGAGTTATGTACAGGATTACATATATACTGTAGGTCTTTATAAACACACAATGCAGAACATTTTTCAATGGTATGTTCAGTGGCTAAGGAAACATCCTTTCTGAGCCCAGTGATGAAACAACCACACACCCCTTTGGGTAAGCGGGAGGTTGCAGGACAAAAAAAAAAAAATCAAGCAAAAAGGACAAAAAAAAGTGTCAAAACTCAACTATCACCTCGATAATCGGACAATTCAGCAACACAGACAAATTTTAGGGAATTACATGGACTGGATAAAAAAAAATTGGTTAAATGTGTTTTGATGTAATATACAATACCAGCCATAAACATAATATAATTTAAAATAAAATAAGGATTGTTTAATTTAATAAACTCGTATATGTTAGAAATAAATTGCACTAAATGGGATCTATTTATAATCTACAATCTATAATCAATGGGTTTTGTCAGAAAAGAACAACCAGTCTTGAGGTAAAACAAAATCGAATGTAACCAAATCCATCCTTTTTTTTTAGGCAAAGGGCAATGTTTTTGTCCTTTTGCAATTGTACACATATCTCTACGTAAAAGAAGTTGAGTATGTGTGCAGATCTCTTATTTAGATCACACAAAATGAAAACTGGTTCCTTTATAAAGAAATCTGCATTTACTAAATTCTATGTTAATATAAACACAGAACTGAACATACCTCCTTTGTAAAGAGGGCCTCCAGTTCTTGTTCATCCAGAACTCCATCCCCATTGGTATCTGCCAGATAAACGTATTAAGCAATGATTTATAAAAGCTACATCTCCTAGTGGTTAAAAAAGCAGCACCCTACCCAAATACCCACAAACAAAATGCCAAAAGCGACTATTCATCAAATTTATACGGTGTCGGCAAATTCTACAGTTCTTCGCAAAGTAGTACCTGCAATCCCTGCCCAGAGGAGCTTACAATCTAATGTCCCTAGCACAAAGACGCACACACTTTTGGGTGGAGGTTGATTAACCTACCAGTACGTTTCTGGACTGTATGAAGAAATACAAGCAAACTGAGAATGAATGATTCCAAGCCTGCAACATGTTAAAGGATCTGTTCACTGTTACTACAGATGCTTTATTTATCCTTGTCCTTGCAGCCTCCATAAAAAAGCCCTAGCAGATCCTGTAACCTTTTCTACCAATCACTAGAGATTAAAACAGCTTGACTTGCAGCTTTGCTGGTCTTACGATAGATGAACAAGCCATTCCAGGCTGCCACACAAGGATTCTTTTAGAAGGCAAAAGGCTTTTGTACAAAAATAAATAAAGCAATCAGCATTCAATCAGCACCCACTGGTGGCAGACATAGGCAGCTCACTCACTAGCCAGGGGAATGCCAAAAAAGAGAAGATAGACTGCACACTTAGAAACTTTAGTGACCAGATTTAAAAGGTAGTAAATTATGTTAGGTTTGATAAAAGGCAACTTGTATAGGAGTAAATGAAGCAATTATTGTAGAAGTATTCTTGAACCAACTAGTCATTGCATGTCTAGTGCTAGACTTTTCATGGATTCATCTGTGCAAGTCACAATTATTTATTTATTAACTATTCAGAGGGCTAAGCATATTTTAACCCAACAATTACTGTCTTACCATGTAAATTGAAGAAGGTTTTGGGGTTGAAATCATTAGGATCCAGGCCATCAGTCTCCTCCCAGACCTCTTTCAGTTGATCCTTGCTCCCCTAATCATGGAGATATTACAGATTACAAATATAACTGCAGCCTCTCCTATTGTGGAAAGCTATTTAATGCCTCTCCTTTGAGTTACCATTTTTCATGATGAGAGAAGACCGGAATTGCTGGAGATATAGTTCAAACTGCAAAACAACCTGTGCTGCCATTGCTGACCCTCTGAGAATGCCAGTTGTCCATAAGTGGAAATTTGGGTCTCCAAGTACCGGTCCGTGGTCCAACTCTGGCCTTGCGGGCCGGTACTATGTGGCCCGCGTACCTGACTTGCGGGAACAGCTCCACGGTCTGCATCTGTGTTGGATGCAGCCCGCAGAGCAGCTCCTGTCAGCTCTGGCTTCCTTCGGCCGGAGCTCTGACAGTTCTGAGCTCCGGCCGAAGGAAAGAATGTATGTGAGGAGGATCGATCCCTGGGGATAACCAGGGATCGATCCTGCTCACAGCCTCCTCCCTGCAAAGACGTGAACAGGTGAGGGGGCTGGGGGGCTCGGGGGTGGTTGAGTGTAATATTTTACACAGTTCTGAGCTTCGGCCGAAGGAAAGAATGTATGTGAGGAGGATAGATCCCTGGGGATAACCAGGGATCGATCCTGCTCACAGCCTCCTCCCTGCAAAGACGTGAACAGGTGAGGGGGCTGGGGGGCTCGGGGGTGGTTGAGTGTAATATTTTACACAGTTCTGAGCTTCGGCCGAAGGAAAGAATGTATGTGAGGAGGATCGATCCCTGGGGATAACCAGGGATCGATCCTGCTCACAGCCTCCTCCCTGCAAAGACGTGAACAGGTGAGGGGGCTGGGGGG